AGAAGTGATCATGGGCATCAATTGATAGAACAATCTAAAGGTCAACTGAAGCTTTCCTACATTGACCAGCTCTATTCATAACATAAATAGCTCCAAAGTCGTATGATTGTATTGAACGTAAATAACTGAAAGTTTTCTTTTGATATCTTAGAATTAGAATTATAGATTTTGACTTGGATGAAGAGTTGTCTCATTGGCACTCATACCACATCTTCTTATATTTATATAAGTCAGTCTCCTTATTTCTATAATTTATAAAGAGAATTTGACAGTCGAATGGCAGGAACTTTGTCTATCATCCCTTAATAATTTATTTAAGATTAGACATGCATTTGTAACAATGATCTGATATACTTGATCTTATTTGATGTTATGAACACTTCGAAAAAAAAATTTACACTTTAGAGATTTCGTGCGTCCGGTGGTTTTCTGGATTTATCGTCATTAGGAACCATCAAACCCAACCCTTTAAAAGTAGTTGTGGGTTTACCCCTTGCATTCGTGTTACGGTGGTTTTCTGGATTTATCGTCATTAGGAACCATCAAACCCAACCTTTTAAAAGTAGTTGTTGGTTTACCTCTTGCATTCGTGTTACGGTGGTTTTCTGGATTTATCGTCATTAGGAACCATCAAACCCAACCTTTTAAAAGTAGTTGTGGGTTTACCTCTTGCATTCGTGTTACGGTGGTTTTCTGGATTTATCGTCATTAGGAACCATCAAACCCAACCTTTTAAAAGTAGTTGTGGGTTTACCTCTTGCATTCGTGTTACGGTGGTTTTCTGGATTTATCGTCATTAGGAACCATCAAACCCAACCTTTTAAAAGTAGTTGTGGGTTTACCTCTTGCATTCGTGTTACGGTGGTTTTCTGGATTTATCGTCATTAGGAACCATCAAACCCAACCTTTTAAAAGTAGTTGTGGGTTTACCTCTTGCATTCGTGTTACGGTGGTTTTCTGGATTTATCGTCATTAGGAACCATCAAACCCAACCTTTTAAAAGTAGTTGTGGGTTTACCTCTTGCATTCGTGTTACGGTGGTTTTCTGGATTTATCGTCATTAGGAACCATCAAACCCAACCTTTTAAAAATAGTTGTGGGTTTACCTCTTGCATTCGTGTTACGCACACATATAAAACTGGCCACAAAGGCAATTGATCAATTTTATGGAAAGAGCTTGTAAATCAACCTCTGAAAAATATTTCAGTTCACAGACAAGAACTCACAATAAAAAATAGCTTGTTATGATTTATACGGATTTGGTGTAGATGGCAGATGTGTGGTTATCACTCTTAACTTTGTTTAGACACGACGTGATGGAGTCCATGGTATATTGTTTAGGCACCTGTCTGTTACTCAGGACTCTATTTTAACCCATAGATGTCTTTTGTTTATTATTTTCTTTTTCGTTGGGTTATTGTCTCATTGATGTATAACATGTCATCTACGTTCATATTCAAATAGATATTCTATTTAAAACTTATTAAAATAGAAACAGTTTTTTTACTGCTAACCCCAATGTTTAAGCTCACCTGACTTATAAGGCCATTTGATCTATTGTTATCAATTGACGTCCGTCATCCGTCAGTCTGCAGTTTGACAATTCATCATCTCCTCGGAAACTACGGGGCCAAATTGAATATCATTTTGCAGGATTAGTGTTTTGAATGGTGTCTATAAATGTTTTTCATTTCATATCGATCGGACGATAAAAATGGATGCAAGAGGCAGATGTTGATTCTGACTGGTCCATTTTTTTATATAAATTCCTTCTCCTCTGAAGCTACAAGACGAAATCTTTAAAACTTTATATTGGAGACCCTCTACAAAATGTCCTCATTTTGTGCTGATCAGGTGGTATACGTGGCGACTACAGCGTCATATAGGTTTCACTGAAGCCTATTATAAATCACATTTATATCATCTCCTCTGAAACAACCCGGCCAAACCAAACTTTGCAGGAATAAAATAAAGAATGGTGTCTACATAAAGTTATGTCTTTCTGATCGGATGAAAAATATTGCCGCTAGAAGGAATTTTTTATTCTTAGTAAAAATTTTTGATTTCTTCTATTCTGAAACTACAATTGTCAAATATTTTCAAATTTCATAGGATTGATTATTTGGGGAACCGCTACAAAATTCCTCATTTGTGCTGATCAGATTGCATATCTTGTGGCCAATGGTGGCACATAGATTTTCATTGAAGCATGTGGGAAATCGACTATTTTCATCATCTCTTCTGAAAGCAGATGGTCAATATTATCCAAATTTGCAGGAATAATGTACGGAAGGTGGTCTATATATCGTCCCCAAACTATCGGTCACCAGACATATTGTTAAGACCTGTCCATTCGTCACATTGAACAAAGATAATTTACCTGTGCAAATCCTACATTTTTTTTGCTGGTAGCAAAATTTTTAAATATAAGCTTATTCATATGCACTTATGGTAACTCTTTCACAGGTGAGCAATACAGGCTCACTGGAGCCTCTAGGTTGAAAACGTATCTAAAAAAAATTAAATGTAATACACACATCTTTTAATTTCTGCTTTAATGGACGCCGTAGCTTTTATAAACCTTTGATCTACATAATATACATTCTATTAACCACGCTCTATTATTTTTAAATGGTTTTAACGTTCAACTTGATGCACAAATTGTACAAAGTTTACAAATTTGGTTTAAAAATTCCAAATATGTATCCCTATTTTGCGTCTATTAATTCAGTTCTCTTCCAAGGGTTCAAGAACGGTTCAGCATTGTCCGAGTCTTTTCCAAATTTTATGTATAAAAATGAAGATAATGAATAAAACAACGTCTGGAACATAGGTATTGGTGTATGGTACGACCGCGATGAATTATTTTTTTGTAAGGTGTTTAAAAGTTCAAAGTCTTTTGCAAAAAATTGTCTTCTTCATATGATACGCAAATGTTAGGCAAAATACTATTGAGTAAGTCAGCAGCACAACATCTGCTCACCAATGGTTTTGGCGTCTGTTTAGGTTCTACAAAAATATGCTTCTTTTTTGTTTTTTTTAGATATTTGATTTGTCGGAAGTTATGCTCTATATTTTGAATTAAAACATTTAAAAAATAGTGTGAGGTTTCTAATTAACCCATTGTCAGTTGAGTTGAAGGATACAGTAACATTTATAGGTGCAGAAGTCGGCATTCCTATTGGAACCAACTGTGCTTTTACTCTTTCCGACTTGTTCCTTTATTCGTATGAGACATCACTCATTAAGAGGCTGTTTTAAAGATAAAGAGAATATCTCATTCATCTTGAAATTGAAACAAAGGATTCCACATACACCGCTAGGTCTGCTTCATAATTTTGATTAAAAAAAATGAATGCGAGTGTCGGTTGAGAACTAACCTTTTCGACAAAAGCAGTAACAACTACTTTCCCATTGTCAACTTCCTTTTTTGGGGAAAATGTATATCCTCATGTTTGGTGGGTTTCATGTTGCGCAATTTGCAGTTTATGTATACTGTTTTCTTTACTCTATATTTGCGTCTTTTTCGTGGTGTTGTCAGCCTCCCTTTTTTTACTATCTATGCTGTTGAGGTCTCACAAATTTTTAACCCGGCTGCATTTTTACGCCTGTCCCAAGTCAGGAACCTCTAGCCTTTATAAGTCTCGTGTGTTTTTTTTAAATTTTGGTTCATTTGTATGTTTCGGAGTTAAGTGTGGCGTCCATTTCGCTGAACTAGTATACATTATTATTTAGGGGCAAGCTGAAGCTAGCCCGCCTCCGGGTGCGGGATTTTCTCGCTGCTTTATATTCACTTATGAAACTGTTGTGTGTATTCAATAAAGAAACTGTCGGTTGTATTCATTGAGATAAAATTGAGAATGGAAATGGGGAATGTGTCAACAACAACCCGATCAAAGAGAAAACAGCCCAAGGCCACCAATGGGTCTTCAACACAGTGAGAAAATCCCGCATCCGGAGGCGGGCTTCAGCTGGTCCCTAAAAAAATGTGTACTAGTTCAGTGAAAATGGACGTCACACTTAACTCCGAAACATATAAATGAACTAAAATTAAAAAAAACATACAAGACTAACATAGGCCAGAGACTCCTGACTTGGGACAGGCGTAAAAATGCGGCGGGGTTAAACAAGTTTTGTGTGATCTCTAACCTAGAGAACATTGAATTGTGCAGTAATTCTAGCTGATTTGTGTTATATTTCGCTAAGGTGTAAAATGCGAAACGAAATATCATATATATAAACTTTTCTACCTTACAAATTTAGAATTTTATTCATATATATTTAGTAAATATTGTTTTATCTTGAAATACGCATAGTACACCATAATAAATGCTGTAGACCGTCTTGAATTTGACCTAATTGTGATAATTAAAACTTTGCTCCTCAAAAAGATTTCAAAGTTATTGTTAAGAATAAGAACACTTAAAAGTGTATTAAACAAATACAAGTTCTTGTGTCTGTTTTCATTTGTCAATTGCAAGAATATTTTATAGATTATGTGCTCAAGAGTTAAGCCTTTTTCAAATGTTTTTTTTTAGTTTGTTCTTAAGTTGTGTCGTTACACCACTGTCCCAGGTTAGGGGAGGGTTGAGCGCTCACAAACATGTTTAACCTCGCCACATTCTTTATGTGCCTATCCAAAGCCAGGAGCCGGTAGTTCAGTGGTTATCGTTGGTTCATTTCTGCCATATTTGTCTTTCGTAAATTGTTTTGTTATAAATTAGGCAGTTAATTTTCCCAATTGAGTTGTTTCATATTTTTCATGTCGGGGCATTTTATAGCCGACTATACGGATGGATTTTTCTCTTTGTTGAAGGCCGTACGGTTGCCTATAATTGCGTACATTCACTTCATTTGAACTTGGGTGGATAGTTGACTCATTGGCAATCATACCACATCTCCTTATTTTTATATCACTATAGTTTCAAACCATATGTTTGCCATGGATGGGCCCAATTGAGAAAAGGATTGCATTAAAAGATAAAACGTAAATAGAGTCATAAAATTAAATTATTGAACTTTTAATTTACATTTATAATTACAATTTATTTCCAAATTAAATGATTGAAATCACCGTCTTAAAAAGTCAATACAACACATATAGATGTTTTCACTTTGGATCAATATTGTTTTTATTTCTTACCAAACCTGTTGATTTTAAACTCATCAGACCATATAGTCGACCATTGATTGAAGTCGGAGACGGGTTTAATTTTCCTGGGATAACCTTTGATTCTTGGAGAGATAGAATGACAACCGAAGTTCCCTCTGACTGTATCTAATATGTCCATGGCACTTTGTAGACGATGTGATAAAACAAGTCTTTTTTCCCGAGGTACACCAGGCTTACTGATAAGGGGAAAGCTGTTTGGTCTTAAAGTTTGCACAGATCCAACAGGTTTCATTTCCATTTGTGAATTTTGCCTTTTTATTGGATTGAGTTCTAGATTCACAATATTTTCATTTGTGTCGATAATTTTCTCGAGCTCATTTTGCTCTTTTAATTCATGTTCAGCATGTTTATCAGAATTGTTTCCAGAATTCTGTGAACCATTGTCAGACTTTTGAGTGACGTCATGGTTTGCATTGTTTTCTGCCAAGTTTACATTGTTTAAATCAATATAGCCTTTCGGTGACGTTTTATTCCTTTTTAGAAATACTTTACTTGCTGGATAATATTTACAGATATTGTCGTACACCATATCTTCATATCCTTTCATCATGGCGAACTGTGCTGCAGGCGACAGTGACGTAGAAAATCGGGGTTCCGATGGTAGAAGTTTATCAGATGTGATAATATCATCCTCTTCCTTTTCCGTTGTTCCAAAGGCTTTGTTGAATCGGATAAGATTCTTTACCCTGCCTCCTAGAGATCGAAAATGCTTATTATCTCCAAATATATGTTGAGCGTTTGATGAACTTAGTTTTCGGGTTGTTGATTTAGCAATTGGCGGCATAATTAATTTTTCAACAGATTTTCGTTTTTCCATACTTACAGATGTCCGTTTATTCAAAAACAATTTAGTGTCCATTATGACAAAGTGTTAAAACTATTTTAATTCTTCTTCTCCTTCCACTCCTTCCGAACATATAAGTCAACGAAAATGATGTTTGGTCGATGTGCCTTTAATCATATATTAATTGTTTATTTTCTTTATTAAACACATGAATGACATCGTATTTACGCAAATTGAAAATTAAAAATCCTACAAAATAGATATCAAAATATTGTTTACCGCTCTGATTAAACTTTTAATCCCTTTAAATAATGGAGTAAATATATATTTAAATTTTACAAAATACTTTCAACATTGCCATTTGAATGTCAGTTCAAGTTTCATTAATTTGACTTTTATATAAATCCGTTCTTTCATACAAAAGGTTTGTTAACAAACATTTCTGAACCAAAATGAAGTTCACTGGGATGATTACTATAAGTCATTGCCCTATCAAATTATAAAGGAAAGGCGAAATCGAATAATGTGAATGAGGCAAGAGTCCAACATTACAGGTTGAGGGAATATAGATAAATAAATATCCATGGCTTGCTATGTTTTATACTTTTCTTTGAAGAGAGAAAAGACCCCCTCCCCCCTTAAAAAAATCAAACCTAACAAAGCACCCCTCTCCAAAAAAAAACCCCAAAAAAACAAACAAACTCCACGGTATAAATTTTACACTAGCAAAGTTAATATATATTATAATTAGACATAAAAATGATACTACACTTTTGAAGATGAAGCAACCAGTAAATTATGGTCGATTGCATATATAATATATTCTAAAATTAATCTTTTATGATTCCAGAAACTTCTAGACTTCCTGACGGTTACAATTCAAGAAGGATATGTTTGGGTTTACACTAGTTAGTAATACTAAAAAACAAAACAAAATGAGACTTATTATCGTGTTTGTAATTACATGAGCAACACGACGGGTGCCACATGTGGAGCAGGTTCTGCTTACCTTTCCGGAGAACCTGAGATCACATCAGATTCTGGGCTTGGGTTTGTGTTGCTCACTCTTTATTTTTCTTTGTTGTTTTTATAGACTGTTGTCTGTAATTTTGGTCGTTTTTTGACATGACATTGTCTGTTCGTTTTCGATTTATGAGTTTGATTAACCTTTCGGTATCTTCCGCATCCCCTTTAAAAGCAGTCTCTCTACAAAACTTGCTTCACTGCAATCTGTTTTGCTAGTTGACTTCAGGAAACCATATATTCAAATTAAGAAATTATCAAATCTCGACGACTAATTAACGCAAAATGTGAATTTATTTTTCAACTTAAAGTGCTATATATTCCAGAATCATTGATACGATTAATTTATAATTCACATTGAATACAATGAGAAAAGAGGAATACAGGAATGAGACAAAAACCAATCTGTTCGTGAAATTTTAGTTTCACACAATCTAAATGATATACTTTAAAGGTTTTCAACGGTTTTATATATGTTCATAAAATCGAAACGTTATTCGTTGTTATATATTTCTGTTAAGTCTAAATGCAGTCATGACCTATATAAATGCAATCATGACCTATATTAATGCAGTCATGACCTATATAAATGCAATCATGACCTATCTTAAAGCAGTCATGAACTATCTAATTGCAGTCATGACCTATCTAATAGTTAAGGCCTATTTAAATGCAGCCATGACTATCTAAAATCAGTCATGACCTATCTAAAAGCTGTCATGACCTATCTAAATGCAGTCATGATCTATCTAAATGCAGTCATGACCTATCTAAAATCACTCAGGTCCTATCTACAATCAGTCATGACCTATATAAAAGCAGTCATGACCTATCTAATTGCAGTCATGACCTATCTAAATGCAGTCATGACCTATCTAAATGCAGTCATGACCTATCAAAAAGCAGTCATGACCTATCTAAAATCTGTCATGACCTTTCTAAAAGCTTTATGAATAATAAGTAACTGTGAAATGAATAAAGATTTGCCTACTACATGTTCAGTAGTAGATTTCTTTATGTGTTGTTTTATTTTTACACTTTATAACAATTTTGTTTTTAATCTGCGTCGTAAATTATTGCTAATTAATGAGTTGCTGATTTTTTTTGGGTAAAACTGAACTTATCCATGTTATGAAGTGGCTACTTACTGTGTAATCTACATAGTTCATATAATTCAATTAATGAACGTCAAATATATTAAAAGGATTTTTATTGAACAATTATTTGAGAGTACTTCCTATTGAAGTAAACAAGGTTATTCAGTCCAAGAGATATAGGAAAAATCAATAAAATATGACAATGTATAAAAACATCTACTTAAATGTCAGATTTGACCATTTAAATTTACTTATTACAATTGTAAATATTTCTATGTATCCGGGTTCTCCAGTACCTGTTAACCAAAAACGTATTCGATGACAATAGAGAATCTCCTGAAGGCCACTTATATCAATGTATATTATGAATAACGGATCTCCTGAAGGCCACTTATATCAATGTATATTATTACAAGTGATTATAAATACTGTTAATCTCCTAAAATGTGTTTTTCTAGATTACTATTGTATAAAATATATCGTTGGCATGCTTTTTCATCATAATTGTTGACGTTGATTGGCAGGGTATATTGTAAAATAGAATTGTATGAAAGTGACAGTTTCAAATATTTTGTGTTCTATTCAAAACCAATGATACAAAGGTCTTTTAATATCTCTAGTAGTGTTATCGTTAATTTATTAATAAGATAATTAGTGGGGTAAAAATAAAGTTCAAAGTTCCTTCAAAGAGGCAGCAACGCCGTGATATAATAGAAATACAACAACAATTTCCTTATTGTCAAAAATTTAGTTAAATTGTCTCTGACGTTATGAAAATAAGTAAAGCCCTTAACTTAAACTAATACGAAATATATGTGTAAGTTGAAATAAAGCAGAGAACATTTAGAAATATTATTCAGTCGATCTGTTCCATGACCGGTCCTCATATGGTTTGAAGATGACGAGTTCCACGTATTCTATATATGTCTAAGACACTAAAACAGTCCATGCAATCACTTAACAGATCTGCTGTTCCATATTCCATCAAAGACAAATCTTTGTTTGTTCCACCAAAAAATTCTCATATTGTTTCTACCATTCTGAGCATAATCTGAAAGTACAAGATTCAAAGGAGAGCGAAATCATGTTTTTATTCTAATATTCTAATTTTCACTGTGTCACCAGTGATTTATTCCCGTCGCAAGCCATCACCGCTTCGTCATTTAAATGAAAATTTTAATACTTTAGATGATAACCAAAAGTTAGTGTTTTTATTCTCAGATATAAATATGATTCGTGTGTGTGCCAAAACCTGTTATTTGATTTTAAAAAGGCGTAGCAATTTTATATATTGTAAATAGTGTTTTATTTCATATTGTTTAGTGTATTTTAGCTATGCATTTTGATAGTCTCTTATAATTCGGTATAGAATGGCCCTCATTTTATTTAGTATTGTTTTACAATGTATAAATATTGATTGTACTTGTTGAGAGATGAGACTTTAATAAAACATTGAATTGAATTTTAAACCTCGTCTGTATTCCTCTAGCGCAATTATTTGATCTATGAAAAAGCCACTTCATATCTGCAACTCCGATATCAATTATACCATAATAACGAACTCAACAGTATATCTTAGCTAAAATACCGTTTTTTAACCAACATTTTTTTTTCCAGTTTTAGGCACCTGTAAATGTAATAGATTCAACCCCTCCCCCTATTTCCAACTAACATTGATCCATTGCTCAGAAATCCGTACAGGGGAACTCATTCGTCGATACTCAAGACAAGCGGACTAGCATCATCCGAAAAAGCCTAAATAAATCGTGCAGAAAGAAAGACTTTGTACTTTAATACTTTTATAGACATGTAGAATGTTGTCCAAATTCAAGTTTGTATAGTTGTGTAACTTTTTGACAGACGAGATCAATTTCATCCAAAATTTACTAGAAGGAAAAATTATGAATCTTAATCTTTGTCTGGGTTTATTAACTCAGAAGTCAGTGCTTCGACCTTTCTTAAATACCCCGTTGATAAATTCAGATATTATTAATTAAGATACTAATGTCCCCATTCCCTCAGATAGAGTTGACCTTAGATTGATGTGGATACCCTTTCGTCATATAACCGTTTACGTGTTTAGGTACTTATACATCCTTGGCTTTCGTCATATAACCGTTTACGTGTTTAGGTACTTATACATCCTTGGCCTTCGTCATATAACTGTTTACGTGTTTAGGTACTTATACATCCTTGGCTTTTGTCATATAACCGTTTACGTGTTTAGGTACTTACACATCCTTGGCTTTTGTCATATAACCGTTTACGTGTTTAGGTACTTATACATCCTTGGCTTTCGTCATATAACCGTTTACGTGTTTAGGTACTTACTCATCCTTGGCTTTTGTCATATACCGTTTACGTTTTTAGGTACTTACACATCCTTGGCTTTTGTCATATAACCGTTTACGTGTTTAGGTACTTGTACATCCTTGGCTTTCGTCATATAACTGTTTACGTGTTTAGGTACTTATACATCCTTTGCTTTCGTCATATAACCGTTTAAGTGTTTAGGTACTTATACATCCTTGGCTTTCGTCATATAACCGTTTACGTGTTTAGGTACTTATACATCCTTGTCTTTCGTCATATAACTGTTTACGTGTTTAGGTACGTATACATCCTTGGCTTCCGTCATATAACCGTTTACGTGTTTAGGTACTTATACATCCTTGGCTTTCGTCATATAACCGTTTACGTGTTAACGTGTTTAGGTTCTTATACATCCTTGGCTTTTGTCATATAACCGTTTACGTGTTTAGGTACTTACACATCCTTGGCTTTTGTCATATAACCGTTTACGTGTTTAGGTACTTATACATCCTTGGCTTTCGTCATATAACCGTTTACGTGTTTAGGTACTTATACATCCTTGGCTTTCGTCATATAACGGTATACGTGTTTAGGTACTTATACATCCTTGGCTTTCGTCATATTACTGTTTACGTGTTTAGGTACTTATACATCCTTGGCTTTCGTCATATAACCGTTTACGTGTTTAGGTACTTATACATCCTTGGCTTTCCTCATATAACCGTTTACGTGTTTAGGTACTTACACATCATTGGCTATCGTCATAAAACCATTTACGTGTTTAGGTACTTATACATTCTTGGCTTTCGTCATATAACTGTTTACGTGTTTAGGTACTTACACATCCTTGACTTTCGTCATAAC